CTACGCTACAATTTGTTAAACATATGTCGGTACATTTTATGTTTTTCGTTAAGTTATATTGATAGGTTTATATTTAATTCTTAAATCATATTATATAATATAATATCTTTGTATGAATGTGAAAATAGAAATCTTTGTCGTGTATGTTTTCTGAAACGACTCATCCGTTGTTTTTGATTTATTTTTTTAATGAAAGAGCACACCACAGAGCCAGTTTTAACTCTATTTATGATTCTATAAGCAGTATAGGCTAATGAAAAATCGAGTTATTAATATTTTTAAATAATCAACAAATATGCACTTGGAGATTTTTTCATCTGTGTTACCAATTATTAGTTATTATAAGAAATGTATTTGATTAAGAAATTAATTTTATACGGGTAACGAAGTCCACAGAAATAAATAGTAATTTATACATTATATCCTATCAAAAATTAAATTTTTGAATTCTTTATAAATTTATGATGATTTTAAAGGCTAATAATGAGAAGTATAAATCTTTAATTTTTATTTGCCTTTAAAGTATGATATTTTCTTGATGTTAAAGTCGAATTAATCAAAATTTAAGCTGTTTTCACCAGCCAAATCTAGATTCTATATCAGGTTTAATTTTAAACTATCAACTATTTAACAACTTTTCCAATTAACAACACAGGGTGGGTGCACATATGAAACAAGTAAAAGCAAAATCATCGTGATAATTTAAAAATGATAATCGATAAGTAAAAAATAACTTGATTGAATAATTTATCAATGACCAATAAATAATAGAATACTTAATAAATATTATATTATATTATTATATGTATGACTATTGCTTAGTATTGTGACTTGAAAATATTGTTCCATTAAAATATATTTAAAATTTATAAAAAATCAAATATTGTCAGTAACTTATATTAATAATCCATACACATTATTTTACTTAGGTACTTTTTCTTCATAAGCACGAAGTTCAAAAATACTGTGAAGTGTTGAACTCAACAGTATTCAGAGTAATGAATTTTTGTTTTCAATAACCAGTTATTACTACTATAAATCATCTCCCTCACCCTTAAAATGACTATACATTGGCATTGCATTGTATAACAGACCAAAAAACTCTAAGGCTACCAACTTTAAAACATACCCATTCACTACGCCACTTCATATGAAAACAAACATTCAAATATTAATTGTGATTTTTTAAGTGCATCACTATTAATAAATTCATCAAGATGTTAAATGAATGACTGATCAAAGCTTTATGAAAAATTAATTATTATTATGAAAGTGAATTGGTGAAATATTTTCAAGCATACACTATATACGGAGTTGTAATTGAGAATATAAACTTATTTTGAAATGCATAAAATATAATATTGTTATTTTTGAAATTAATATATTTTTTACTTCAGTTTAAGCTTAAAATCTTGTAAAATAATTATATTATAGCCAAATTTCAATGATACTTTAATTATATTAATAATAAATATAATATCATATAATATAATATATTAAATCTTGTATTAATTTGACAAGTTTTTAAAATAATTATTTTTTTTTTTTTTTAATATACTTATTTAAAAAAATTATACCATGTTTCTAAATGCTCACCAATCTCGTTTTTACACAAAATTTTTTTCAAAAAATATGAATTGGTATCGAGATTCATGTTCCAATACTCGCATATTACTATTCGGAATCGTACAACATCCCTATAAGTCAAGGCACCATTTAAAAAATATTTTGATTATACAATTTTATGATACATTTTATTGTTTATTATGAAAGTATATCAAACATCATAAATAATTTATAAGTAAGTAGAAATATACTTATCTTATACAGTTATAAATTGTATTCAAACATAAAATAATTTAAATCATATTTTGCATTTTTGAAAGATTTAGTAAAACAATTAATTATACATCGCGTTATCATCTCGCACACCTGGTGTTTTTTTTAAAACTAAAAAAAAAAATTGATTGTTAGCTACTTAGCAGAACATTTAAAATAAGTTTAAGATACGATAAATGATCAACAAAAAATAAAATAAAAGATATAAATTTCAAACTACAAGTATTGTAAATCTTGACAAAATTATAACACTATTAAAAAACAAAAGTCTAATTATATACTTTAATTAATAAAACTGGTAAACAAAGGGATAAATAAATTAATAAAAATATATTATAATATACTAAGACTATTATATTATTTTAATTATAGTAAATAAACATTTCACTGTACGATGTACCACATCTATCAATTTATTCTACAATGGATTTTTAAATACCTACTATGTTTTTAGCAACCTCAGAAGATAGTTCCGTAATTACTTAGTAGATACTAAAAAATATCTAGAATTATCAAAATAAAAAAAAATAGCTTCTACTTCAATTATATAATTTATAAATTATATTAATAATTTTAATAATACTTTAATAGATATTGACAATTTCAATTACTATTAGTATTTCATTCAATAGAAATAAAAACAAAAAAAAAATATTAATATTTTATAAATATCTGCTGCATAATATAGTATAATATTATACATGATTAATTTGCGTAAAATACTTATAGTTTTATTTTGTTATCATTGCAATATATTGTACATATTATATAATATACAAATATGCAAAACTATCGCCATATAATATTATAAAAATTTATAAAACTTATATTATTGCCAACTGATTTTAATGTTAGATAATATGATAATATCTATTTATAATAATTTAATTCGGTTCTAAATAAATAATTTAGAAATCTAGTACATCACAGTTACAATATTTACTTATAAATACTATAATATGAATTTAATACAGTTTAATCTTTATTTTACAATAAAAGTATTATTATCTATTTATGACATTTTAGAATTATTATATTAATATCTCTAAATTTTAGTCATTTCTCTTTTTTTAGTCATTATTATTTTGTTTTAAATATTTGTTTAAATGTAATTAATCATTTTTATACTGAATCTATTATTATCACATAACCTATTTATATTTTTTAAATAAAACTGTAAATATAAATTTTAAGGTAATATTTATTATATTTTAAATAAGTAAACACACACTTTATACTATATTTAAATTTCAATTTAAGTATCCTGCCAATGTAAATAAAAAAAAATGTTAGCCATAAAATTGATACAATATTATGTTTACAGCAATATTTCAAATACAAGGAGTTTACAATAGATGACATAAATGCACGCAAGAATATTAGGTTGAGAGAAAAATACTTGAAGACTTACTATTAACGATATAATAAAATAATATGTCGTTTTAAATGTTCTAAAGTACATTTCAAGTTTTAACCTTCCTAAAATTTTAATATACTAAACAATTCATAACTAATGTATTTTTTTTAAGTATTTAATTCATTTTTATGTATTCAAAAATTCGTTACCAAGAAATATACTGTTTTATTTTATTTTAATGACTACATACATGGATTGTATTTTTTTATTTTTTATAAAGAAATAATAAAATATTTTTATAATATTAGTGTTACAAGTATTTTTCCAACTCATGCATATATACCTTTTACGTTTATTAAAAAATATTTTAGTCGGGTTTTTATTTCATTATTATTATTATTATTATTTGCTTGACAACTGAACAAAGTTATGTATGAAAACAACAAAATGTAAAAAATTAAATGAAGTCCATTGTATAAAGAAGAATTAACATTTAAAACTATTTTTTCAGTCCAATTTACTTAAATCGTAAATGGCTGAAAAATATAGCCATGTAATTTAAAATTTAATTTCGATATTTATTTCCTTATTGTTTAATTTCGGTATTGTTATTTACAATGTCGCAATGTATTTTAATTAGTTGCAGTTGATACAATCTTGCAGTGTTTTATTTTACGACATAAATCAATTGCATACACAATTAACTACAATAGTTGTACAAAACCACAAAACAATAAATTATGTATATGTTTTAAATTTTATTTAACTTTACTGTAACATAATATTCTGGCTATATTTTAATAGTAACGTACATTTTAATAACAATTAAAGATGCTCATCCTGATATTTTGTTTAAATATTTACCATAACGTAAAATAATTCGATATTAATACTTAAATTTAAATATTATTTATACAATATCATGAATTGTTTTGACATTATTCTACAAGTAAATAATAAATATAATATGTATTACATTATATTTAAAATAATAATTTTATGAATTATTTCCAACATAGGTTTTACCTTATACACATAACAGTAATCATTAACACCTTTCTTTGTAAATTATTACATAATACGTTTATTAATCATAGCTATGTTTCTTACACTAGTTTTTCTTTTTATTATCGTAATATAATATATTTTATAAGTAATTATTATTATTATTTATTCATTATTCACAAATTTAATACGCATTATTGTTTAACTCGTAATAAATAAATGAATTTATTAAATGATATAATTTAGAAGTAATAATATAAAATATATTGACTAAATATAATATTTGAAAAAAAAATTATCAGAGTCTGGCATAAATGTTATTTTCTAATCAAAAAGGAACTTAAATAAATGTATATAAATGTATTAAAAATGTGACAAATATAACTGAATAATACCAGAAAATGATTATTTAAATCAATAATAATAAATTCTACGACGGATGTTTGATGCTTCATAAACTATAAGTTATATCTATTTATATACCTAGCATAACCGTTAATAGATAATATTCTATTTTTCTATAGTTTGTCCATAGCACTTTAATCAAAATAACCGTGTTTAAGAACAGCTAACTACATAAAATCCAGTTGAAAATGTACATATAGATAAAACGTAAATACTCGGTGCATAACAAAATTAATAGGTAGATGAGAACCCAAAGAAAAATAATATAATAATTGCAGATAGGTACACTATAGTAACTTAAATTATGTACATGATACAATAACAATACAGTGGGTTTTTTTCATTTTATAAAATATAAGTTGATTATATAATAGGGGAAAATGTCTTCAAATAATAATAAGAAGAATAATAATAATAATAATGAATGTAACCTATACGAAAGCGAGGTAGTGCATGAAATTAATTATTATTCATTACAATAGATGTAAATAGGTTATATATTATGTATATATATTTTTTTTTTTAATGCGACCAAGTATCTATACTTTAAATACTGAGAGAATCGCGTGTTTGTAAAGAAAATAAGAATACAAAAAGAGGCACTGCGTGAAAGGAATTCATTTTTAAAAGAAAAACAGCTAAATAGGTATTACACATAATTGCCGTTCAGTACATTGTTTTCGCTTATATATAGGTACATGTATAGACAAAAAGTTAATAATTGACTAGTGCAGTGTTCTTGCTGCAGATTGTCGTCGATTTAAAAATGACGTTCATAAATAAAGAAATCGTCTACGTATTTACTATATTATTATGATATTCATACAAGTATTATGCGCAGATAATGCCTATATGTATGTAAAGTATAGAGTTTAATATCATATTTTGTTGTTAGAGGTTTTTCTGTCGGATGTTTAACGATCACGGACGGATGGAAGAACCGATTCTAGTAATATTTTTTCCGTGTCGCAATCGCGAAAATTTACTATTTAAATTATATTGCACAGAACGATCAAAATAGTAGTTTGTGTCAGTAACGTCGAAGATTACGAAATGCCTAATATTATTCTATTACCTACACAATAAAAAAAGAATTTTCACTGTACGCAGAACAGCGTCTATATAACGATATAACGAGATGTAAATAATTATAAAAAACATTCCGTATATTCCTGCAGTGCACGCAAGTACGTTTGATTAGAGGGTAGAATTTTAAAACGAAGAATAAAACAAACGAACGAACAAAATACAAGATAAAAACGCTAATAATATATATATATATATAGTATAGGTATATGACAAATACGCAACCGGAACAAAATATATAATAATAATAAAATTATAATATTTTTACATAATATTATCATATTTTTGACGACGAGCTCGCAAAAACGGCGACGGCGGCGATGTGCCTAACTACACCCGCACCTATCCACCACCATGCCGGGCAGCAGTCCGTAGATGATGTTGAAATCCTGGTCGAAGTACAACATGGATATGGCGGACAGCTTGCGAGGAGCGCAGCACGGACCGGTGCCCGGGTACGTGCCCGACTTGTTGGTGAGCTGTGCGAGATGGGTGTGCGGGTACTTTTGTAGGTACACCATCGGACACTCGCCCGAACAATAGTTGGCCTCGTACTTCTTGGGCGCGATGATCCAGTCCCAGCCGAAGTCCTCGAAATCGACCGTCAGAGGGTACCTGCAACATAGCTGCTCTTTCGAGTTCTCGTCGCAATCCTTTCCCAGCACGTTGCGCTTGGCTCGAGACCGCCGGGTGTCTTCCGTGTGCACCTCCAGGTACGGGATCTGCGCAAAAACCCACACGAATCAGTAACGGCATCGACGGCTTAGAGGAATTTGGTGGGCAGTGGGTGGGCCAGGGTTTTTGGTTTTCGTCGATCGTAGTCACCACCGTTGCGGCTGTCAGGGTGGTTTTTTTTCACGTTTCCGGGCGTGTACCGGGTAAGGTGGCAAATACGATGATGTCCTACCTATATGATACACTGAGTGATTCTTTCAACGGTAAAAAACTGTGATGGACGATCTATAATTAATTATACTATAATATATCTATATACCCACGCAATTATACAGGACAGCGGTATATTATGATTTATCAACCCGGCCGCGGTATAATAAGCTGTAGTTAAAAATGGCCACGTTAAGTACATAATAATAATAATAATCAATACGTCGGTAATAAACTGCTTGCTGCAATTATATAAATGATTATCGTATAGGTACGCGTATTATATAACAATATTGCCTTTTAAAATAATACACGCGGCTGCGATATTAGAGTTAGCTATCTACTCGCATAATATATTATACTATTCACATTATTATTCGCGCGGCACAATCGAATCACCGGCTACGAGACGACCACCGAGTAGCACTTATGAATTAAAATAATAATAACAATAATAATGATGATGACGACGGTGATAAATTAACGATGTTTATATTGTAATGTTATTACATATTATTATTATAGTCGGCCGAGAGGGAGAGCGCCTCCCGGAACGTTCTGGCGGCGGTGTACACGAGTATAGTATAAAATGTATAATATTATTATTATGGGTATACTATAGCGATTTCGATTTATTTTTTTTTTTTTTTTTTCCTCGCTCGTAAAAAAAAAAAAAAAAAAAAAAAATAAAAAAAAAAAAAAAAAAAAAAATGAAAAAAAAAAAACACATCGGTTAGTTTTTGCATTGTACTGTCGACGCCGCAACGACGTGTAATATAATATAAAGTGTACAACACAATAAAGTAGGTACGACGCGTCCGACGTGTAGACCGGTCGAGGATACTTTCGGTTTGTTCGGTCGCGTCGGATTATTATCGTTGAGAGTTATCGCACGATTTTTACGGACCGTGCATGATAGTGTATACATACAGTAAATGCCTCCGGTCCGGTCACCGCATAAACGCCGCCGCACCGTGTATATATATATATATATGTATACGATTATTATATATAATAAATATTTTTTCCATCGGTTTATAATATATATTATATACGTACATATAATAATAATATATAAAAAAAAAAATCGTATTATCGTTGCGTTACGTTATTATATACCTATTATATTATGTTTTGTAGGTATATACAACCGATTGGGTTCGCGTCCCGACAGTGCCGAACGGTTTTACGTAAGTTATTAATATCGTTAAGACGATGTCAGCGCACCACATTTTGTTTTTTCTCTCTCACTCTCTCGCTCTCTTTGACCCACGCGCGACATGGCAAATTTCCGTTCGGCAGAACCAATCTCGCATTAGATTGGGATTATTATCAAAGTGAATTCACCTGTTATTGGACTTAAAAAATTAAAGCATTGTCTGTGTGTATACGTTGGATTTTTTCACGATATTTCGATTCTATGCGATAAATCAGCATTTCAAAGAAGCGTAGTATATTTTCCGTATCCATGACTTGCATAAAAATTTAAATACCGTGAGTAAGAAAACCGATGTATAAGCATGGATAAATTTTACAAATTTAAATTTAATAATGCGATAATAAATTTATCGTGTACGGGTGAGATACAGAAAACAAAAAATGTGCTGACATGCTCTTAATATACAAATAATTGTTATTATAATATTATGTTGTAATCGTTGAACGTATTCGGTAGATGTTGTAAAATACCACTGTCTATATCGGTATCAATAAACGGATTGATTGATAGATCAAATTATTTATTCTAATAATAATAAGTAGGTAGGTACACTATATTATAATACAGTAAAGATTGATATTATTCAATCGTCGTATAAAAAAATTATCGTTTAATATTTAGTTTATTCAATTCCAGTCATAACATTTATAATTTGTTTTAGAAACTATTTTTACTTTTATAATAAAAATACATTTATACAGTTTTTTAAGTATATTATATAATATACATATACAATGTTATAATATATCACTACCTAATAATCGGATATTTTGTCATTTTTCGTTGGTTTTACATTTTAATCTATAAATTCTATAAAATACAGTTTTTGATTTTATGTTTTTCGACAGTAAAATTCAGGCGTTTTGCATATGCAAGCCATTACACGCGAAAATCGTATACTACGTACTTAGCTCAATTGTACGCTTTTATATGAACAGATTGATTGGTTTTTTACGTCTATATACTATTACATATAAATAGTTCACAAATATATTTCATAAATAATAACAATATAATAGTAACTATGATACATTTTATTATATAGTAAATTATGGAATAATTGAGTTGTCTTATCATTAATGATTATAACTATAAAAAAAATATTAGTTTACACGCGTCATTCGGTGACGTACGCGACGACAACAGCGGAGGAGGCGGTGGCGCGAAAAAAAAATACTCCGTTAAAAAGAAAAAAAAAGTAAAATAATAAACAAACAAAAAAAAGGGTGTATATACAAAGAAACGCGTTGCGAATAAATCATACAAAATATTTCTTGTTTTTATTATGCCATTACTACAGGAATAAAGAATTCACGAACAACGCAGAATACATCGTATTATAAACATATAATAATATCGAAAAATTTTAACGTCAGCTCGGCATTTATGCGTCATGTTTTTCACTTATATCTCGCTTTTTAGCAGATGAAATTGATAACATCACGATATTATTTATTTAATACAAACAACCTATCATCGTGTGGAACAAAAATAATACGAAATATCAGTATGTGTGTGTGTGTGTGTGTGTACGCACGCATACAAGCACCACATCAAGATGGGGGTCCAGAATGCCCCCCTCGGATTTTTTCCACTATCTGCCCAGTGGCAATCTTAAAATCTTCGATGACAAAAATTGAATAAAATGCGTATTGCATTTCAAAATATAATATTTGATTGCTTGTTTGCGTGCATGTGTGTGTGTGTGTGTGTGTGTGTGTGTGTGTGTGTGTGTGTGTG